TCTGCCACGCCTGCTCCTGAGCTGTCCCTTAGACCCCAGGGCTGGGGACATGCAGCCCAGGCCAGCCTGGGGACAGCAAGACAGGAGTGGGGAGTGTTCCAGGCTTTTGCTGGAGTGGCCTCCTCTTGCCGGCAGGCCTGGGAAAAGATGAAGAGGGTCGCCTGCAGGAGGAAGAGCTGGGGGATCCCAGGCCATGCCACGGGCCCCTTGTGTTCGTTCACACTGACCCTGCATCACTGGCCCAAGGACAGTGTAAGGGTGGGGCCCGTGACTGCATCTGAGCTGGCCATGGTGATGCAGAGGCAGCAGAGCAGGTCCCCACCAGGCCCAGGTGACAGGACTTTGCAGCTTACGGAAGGACCTTGGTCCCTCCCCAGTCCTCTTCACTGACCTAGATGGGTGGAGTGGGACCCCAACATCAGAGTCGCTAGGTTGGGAGAGGTTGACGTGCCAGCCACCATCAGGAGCAGGCAGGGCTCGGGCCCACGTGGTCTGGCCTCAAAGTCTCGTGTGACCTGTGCCTGCCGGACTCAGAAATCCCACTCTAATCCTGCTTAGCTTCTGGACGAGGACCAGGCCTCCTCCCTTCCCACCTTGTGCTCGCGCCCCCATTAGTCTATGACATGAGGCCATACAGTTATGGGAAAAGATCGTGTAGTCTTATTGAAAATACTAGGTGAAGAAAAAGGAAGATGCCTGTTGTGTGCAGGACCTCCTGCATCGTGGTGTTTGCTCCTGGGGTCTCCGTGTGACCTGTGTGGCTGTCCTTGGTGTCTACACTGCATTGCATGTCTCACCAGCGCTGCACATCTGTGTCTTCACCGCCATCCTTCAGAAGGCAGGTGGGGGTGGTTTCGTCCACGTGGCCGGATTCACCTAGGTTAAGTGTCAGTCACTGCAGGAGAGGGTGCCCTGTCCCTGCTCCTGGTCATGACTTTCCTGTTTTATTTGCTCTTATTAATCAAACAGCTTTGTGCATGAGGCTTGTGTTTTTGTATTTGACATTTCTCTTCCTTTAGGTAGATTCACAGAAGTGGGGAAACATTTATGTGCTTTCCACAGAGGATATCATATTTCTGCGCTAGATATGTGAGGGTCCCAGCTCAGTACGCCCTTGCCAGCATCCGTGAGGACTTTTTATTGCCCCTCTTGGCGTATGGTGGATGTAAAGTAAGCTGCATGTGCATGGAGCGTACAGTTTGATGAGCTCTGATGACTGCACACCTGTCCACCTCCCCAGTCCACACCCAGAATGTTGCAGACAGCCAGTGCCTGTCTTCCGTTGCTATGTTTTGCTTTTCTGAGACATCAAGGGAATGTGATCACACGGAGTGGAGCCCTGTAATCTGACCTCCTCCTCCTCTTGATGTGGTGATTTTGAGATTTACCCCGCTGTGGGGACTGGCAGCTTTTATGGCTGAGTAATATTCTTTCAAAGGCTCTGCTGCCTTCCGCACGTCTGCCCTTCTACTTTCCTCTTGGGGTCTGAGGCATGAACCCTCTGCATGTGGACACCTGCTGCCTTCCTCTTGAGTGAGTCCCTAGAAGTGGCTGAAGTGTTTGGAAGTCCTGTTTACCTTAATAAGAACCTGGTGGTTTTCCTAAATGGTATTTTTTTTTAAAGAACAAATCTGCCTCTTAAAAAGGACAGCGTGGTCTTGCGATGTGCACCGTGGTTCCGGTGAGCCCGCTGTCTCCCCACATTCCTGGGAACCTGCCATCTCCTTCCCGCTGTGTGCTCGCCTGCCGCACCTGTGCCGCCGTGCCTGTTTCTGTGTGGGGTCGCGCACTTCCCGCTCCTGCCTCTGCCCCGCGCAGCCTTGCTGCACCAGGGAGTGCAGATGCCCTGTGTCCCTCGTGCCGTCGCTCGGGTGATGCTCCAGCAGTTCTTCCTGCCCCAGTGCCTGTCCCGCTCCTCAGGTAGGGTCCCCCCCCCCCCGCCCGTTAGAGTGAAGCGTGCCTGCAGGCATGCATGTGTGTGCGGGGGAGGCGCACGTGTGCGTGTTTCCCTGGTAGGCTGGGTTTCTGCCTGCTGGATCTGCCCTCCTGTACTACAGAAGCCCTGCTGATGTCTGCTCGGCACTCTGCAGCGTCCCGGTGCTGGCTCTCTTGACTTGTACGCTCACGTGGTGTGTGGTGATGGTGGTGGATATGTGTGACAGCGTGGGAGTGGTCTGTCCCTCCTGCAGCCCAGGGCAGTTTTCTGCTTTGAGTCTGGGAGGGTGGACAAGCTGGGCTGGAGGATCAGGGCACAGAAGTCCTGAGGCTGGAGTGGACTGCAGCCTGTGGCCAGCTCGAGGGGTCAGCCTAGGCCTAGCGGTGGTCCTGGCTGGTCCTGGCTGGCCCCACCTTGCAGGGGGCAGTCCATTTACCCAGCCTGTGTTGTCAGGACTGTGTGCCTGGCACTGATGTGGGCACTGGGACCTGATGGCCACCAAGACCAAGTCCCTTCCCTGGTGACACCTTCATGCAGCAGGGGACAGGTAGGACGTGGGTGTGGACTCCTCTGATGGCAGCCAGCAAGGTGATGGGCCAGGGTGGCCGCTGGGGGCATGTTCAGCCCGGGGCCAGGGGGCCGGCCTGCATGGGGCACTAGGTGAGGACCTCAGGTTTCGGTTTAAATTCCATGGAAAGGCCCTCAGTGGGAGGAGGGCCAGAAAAGCAGCTTTTCAATGAACCTCCTGTGGCTGCAGGTGTGGCTGGGCAATGGGGTGGAGGCAAGACGCTCGCTCCTGGAGATGGTGCTGGCTCAGAGTGTGGTACAGGAGTGGCGCTGCTGGGCCTCCGGATGGTTGCCGGGCAGCTGTGATGAGTTCCACAGGAGCGCACGAGAGCGGGGCCAGCATGGGGCCGGCACAGTGCACCCGGGGCCTGTCAGCCTCTGAGGAGTGGGACCAGGACTCCTGTGTGTGCCCACAGAGGCGTCCACACCGGCAGGCAGCCGGCCTCCGTCACCCGCTGGTCGGGGAGGAGGTGCGAAGAGCGATTCTGAGCTTGTGAACAGGGAGGGGGCCTGGCTTAGGGAGAGCCGCTGGCCTCGGCCAGTGCGTCCCTACTCCCCTCCTGTGGCTGACTGCTCCAGGGCCACCTGATACCATACTCGATGCTCCCAAGGAGTGGGGTCGGTGGTCATCGGCTTCCTTCCCTCGGCTGTTGCTGGCTGAATACAGAGATTTTCCAAGGCGAGTGAGGACCGCAGATCTGAGTGCTTCCCCAGTCCCCAGTGCTGTGAACGTGGGCGGATCTTTGGCCTGTGCTTGCGTCTGGTTTTCTGTGACGGGGTGCAGAGAAGAGGGTGCTGTTGAGAATTCCCTGAGACTTCTGCACAGAATTACTGTTGTTATGGTTCTTGTTAATACTGCAATAGCCTGCGTGCCCTACAGCTGCTAGCAGGTGATTTTTTGTGGGGCAGGGGGTGCTGGTGATTGAACGCAGGGCCTTGTGCATGCTAAGCGCAGGCTGTGCCACCAACCGCCCCCCCTCCGCCCCGTGTGACTTTTATTAAAGACGAGGCCCCATGAGGAGGGGCGGTGCTTAACTCAGAGTGGCACTCACTCACAGGGCCTTTCCCTGGCAGGGGCAGGAGCGGGGTTTGAGTCATGACCCCGCACCTGTCAGAGCCAGCAGGGGACCAGGAGGCAGTCAGCATGCGACCCCTTTGTGGGTCTTAGCCTGAAAGCTCTCAGCCGGGCTCTGGGAGAGAGCTGTTGTTAAAAGACAGAGCTGGCCTTTCACCCGCGGTGAGCGAGGCACTTCCCCTGGTTTTAGGATGTCTGTACGTGAGCTGGGCATTGCAGCAGGGCTGTCCTCGTGAGGGGGTGGTGCAAACAGCTTGTGCTTGGTTCCAGCCGGTGCCCACAGTGCCCGGGAGCCTGGGGAGGCTGTCAGCATGGGCTGAGCTGGGCCCCTCGCTGAGCAGGCCCCCGCCTCTTCCCTCCTGCTTGCTGCCTGCGAGTCTGGGGCCCGGCAGGTGTGGGAGCGGGTGGGTCCACTGCTGGGCAGAGGGAGGGCAGGGGCTGCGCCAGGTCCTGCTTGTGGGGTCAGTGGTGCGGCTGGGGCCTTCTGCCTACAACTCAGCCCCTGACTGACCCTGGAAGAGGGACGGGCAAGTCCTGGTGGGGTCAGAGTACCCATGAGGACTGAGGACGGTGCTGCACCCGGCTGGCCCTGGGGGCTCCCTTGTCTAAGTGAAGGGGTTAGGTCCCCCGAGGCAGAGGACTAGGACTAGGTTCCAGTGGGAGACAGAAGGAGACCAGCGATGGTTTAATGCACTGAGTTGCTGAAATCGCCCCGGCTCTGTCGCTGTGTGTGACATGGGCTCTTCCACCGTGGTCACAGTTAACGTGCATTAACTTGAAAAGAACCTGTGGCTCCCAGAAGCCAAGCTGCCCGTCCCTTGTCATAATAACTGGGCAAAGGAGGAATGGAGCCCCAGATTTTTTCCTACCAAAGCTGTGGGCTCTTTCTTGCGCAGGAAAAGGTCACAGGTATTTATCATAAGGAAATACCGCGTCTAGTAAGCAGTTTGTGCAAGGAGTGAGGGAGAGTGAGTGGCTTGGTGTCCTCGCAGGGCTCCTGCCTGCTGCCCAGCCCGCTGGCGAAGGGCACTGTCCCTTTAAGTGGGATTCTCCCGGCCGGCTGCAGCTGGGGAGTGGCGGCGGGGCGGGGTGTCTGCTGCGGGCGTTCCGGCCCTCCCCTCCTCCTCCAAGTCTCCGCTGCTCAGCCGGTGACGTTGACGAACAGCTCACTTCTTCCTTTCCACCAACCTGCTGATTCATCTCCAGGCTAGAGCCGGCCCACGGGCTGCCACTGGGTGGAGGACTCGGGCTCCTGGGAGGTGTCCCAGCCTCTAGAGATGCCCAGCGGTTGGCGGGTGGAGTGGCTCAGAGCTGGGTGGGATTCTGACCCAGCGTGCAGGGTGGAGGGCAGGGCTTGGCCAAGGTCACACAGCGGGCCAGGGCAGCCGTCCTCTCTCACCCCTCTCCGGCCTCCTCCTGCAGGCTGCCTCAAGGATGACCGCATCGTCTTCTGGACGTGGATGTTCTCCACCTACTTCATGGAGAAATGGGCCCCCCGGCAGGATGACATGCTGTTCTACGTTCGCCGGAAGCTGGCCTACACGGGTAGCGAGAGCAGCGTGGATGGGAGGAAGGTGGGTGACCCCCGTGCCCAGCACCCCAGGCCCGCAGGTCCTTCCCCAGAGCCCTGCGAGTCCGAAGGGCACGAGGTATTCGCAGTTCAGTGCACAGTCTCTCCTCTTGCCTACTTGGCCCGTATGCACCTGTTAATCATATCCCAGGGATGCCGGAGGGCAGCGATCGTCAGCACTGTGGTGGCCGCCAGGAAGCAATGCAGGACTCGCTGAGGGGGGAGCTTCTCCCACGAGGGAGCAAATGTAGCACAGGGCTTTGACCCAGGCTGTGGGCAGGGTGACCCTGCCTGATGGCGTGACGGGGAGGAGGATGGTGTTCCTTCCATGGATGGTCCTCTCCACGGACTCGGCCAGCGCTCCACTCTGTGGTCTCCGCCCTGTGGATTCCTGCGCTCGGCAGGCAGCCAGACAGGAAACCCAGGGCTCCGAGATGCAGCGCCTCAGCCCAGCAGCTGGAGGAGTGAAGGAGACGTTGCATGCTCCCTTCGGTTTTGCACAGTGTTTAAGCCTCCCATATACCAAACATGGAAATGCTTTGTGTTCCTTTAAAAACAGAAATCGGAGCACTATGGACCAGGACTGGGCCTTGCAGCGCCCCCTGGGTTTGCTGCCCAGGGCCCATGCATCGTGCTGGGAGCACCTTCCCGGCCATGGCCTGTGCTAGGAGCATGAACACATGCACAGTAAGCCTGCCGCAAGTGGACAAGCCTGGTGCCCTCGGGTGGACACTGGTGACCTCCTGCTGGCTGCTGGTCATGGTGAAGGAGCTGGGGGGCCTGCAGCAGTGGGCATGGCTGGGGTTGGTCTTGGCCGGGAAGGTGTGGAGGCCGGGCAGAGTGGCTCAGTGGTGGTGTCAGGGCAGGGTGTCCTGCGGGGGTGATGAGGAGGCCTTGCCCGTGGTAATGGGACTCGGGAGCCGAGGCCGAGGCTCCTCACTTCTGCCCCCCTTGCCCTCTCTGCCCCGTGTGGGTTTGCAGACTGGCTGCCAGACCAGCTTTGTGATTCACTGTGTGCCAAGCCGTCCAGTCGTCACTCTGGTGCTCAGGGCAAACACCCAGGAAGGCGGGGACTTCCCCTCAGGGGACCTGGGAGCTGAGGTTGATATGACCCCAGAGATGCCCTTGGCAGGAAGGGATGGCATCAGGGAGCGTCCTCATGCCGGGGACCTCAGCCTCTGTTCCCAGCCACCCCAGCTGGCAAGGGGTCCCTTCTGTGACACGTGGGTCTTTGCCCCGAGGCAAAGGCTGTGGCAACTAGAGGCTCTAAGGAGGCAGCGCATACGTGGGGCCTCTCGGGTGGCCTGAGTCTCGGGTCCGGGAGAGGCCCAGCTGTGGTCAGGAGGGCGAGAGGGGAGGACAGATGTGTCCTGTGGGGGTGGCGGGTGCAGAGAGACGGTTGGGGCGGCTCCTTCTGGATGGAAGAGAAGGCGATGCGGAGAGCCCACCCTGGGAGGAGCCGCCCGGGGACATCGAGGTCGGGGGAGCAGATCCCCGGGGTACTGGGCACCCAGTGGGCCACTGACCCCAGAAGGGACTCAGACCTGGCCCAGTGCTCCCTGAGCCCAGGCTGTGGGGACAGATAGCCCGGCAGATGGCATCCAGGGCCGCCAGGGCTGTGGTGGGGGAGAACAGGGCCAGAGGGCTGCAGAAAGAGGTGCCGTGGGCCGGGAGCGTTGTGGGACACGGCCGGGGAACTCCAGCCTGGGATCCGCCCCTGCACTGTGGGAGGCGGTGGGGGCACCCCTGATCCAAGGTGTGACACTCCCGGCCTGCCAGGGAGGTTGGACAGGATAGCGTCTGGCACAGTGTTTGGAGGACAAGGCCAACAGGCCTGGGACCCACCCCGCTGCGCGCTTTCGGGCTCATCAAGCCGCAGTGCCTGGGGTCGCCTGCAGGGCGCGAGATTGAGGCGCGAGCCGGGTCCCCGCCCCTCAGACAACCAGGGCAGGCGGGGTGGAGGGGCGGTGCGCCTGCGCACTGCGAGGTCTCTGCGGCAAGCCCCAGCTGCCACCCACTCTCCCCTCCCGCGGTACCCGGTTGTCACGGCAACCAGCTGGTCTCCCGGCGCCTAGCAGGACAGGATGGATGGGCAGAGCTAGAGCCGCAGTGTGGGTGGCAGAGGATGCAGGGATCCCGGCATCCTGCTCCAGGACACCCCGGGGATCCTTGGGAGGGATGCCCTGGATTCTCTGCGTGCTCCCTTCACTCCTCCCCGGGACAAAACGGTCCCTGTCCCCGGCAGCCCACGTAGTCTTTGGCGGAGAGGGTATGGCATCTGTGGCTTGCTCTGTGCGGGTGGCCCATGCCGTGAACTACCGGCACTCCTGCCAGCGCCCTCAGCAGTTCGGGATAGCATTCTATCCTAGACGTCCTAGGCAGAAAGTCAAGGCCCAGAGACCCAGGAGGAGCTGCCTGGGTCACACAGCTTCCTGGGGGTGCCGTTCTGCTCCCAGCTGAGCCTTTTGGCTGTTGGTGGATTTCTTGAGCATAACAGACTGGCAGGAATACGCACCGATGAGTCGACACGGGTGGTGGACATTTGGCCCTTGTTGCAGCCACGCGCTGCTGCTCCCAGTGTCCTGTGCCTCTGTCCCCCCGGGGTGGGTGTCCACGAGGCTCCCGGCTGGGTCTGGACCTGTCTCCTGATGCACACGCAGCATGTTCCCACCGCTCAGCTGCTCTGTCCGCTGCCCTCTGTCCGCGGTGCCCGCCGTGCCGGGACCTCTTCCTTCCATTCCCTGAACCAGCAGAGGTCGGCTGAGCACCTGCTCTGTGCAAAGCTCAAACCTTGCTTCCTGCCAGGAGCTGAGTTCTCTTGGAGGAGACAAAATGAGATGACCTCAGAACCCTAAGTGCTGCAGGGAAAGAAAAATAAACCAAGGGGGCGATGAAGGGAGCCTGAGAGGAGCAGCAGCGCTGTGGGCCGAGGTGGCGGCCGGGGCCCCTCCCCGTCGCACTTCCCTGGCTCCCTCTGAGGCATGGGGGCCTCCCGGGCCTGCATGCAGCGTCCAGCCTCTGGGTGCCTGGGTGCTGACTCCCAGCAGGGGTTTGCCTGTGGCCCTTGGGTCAGAGTCTGCAAGAGCCTCAGGGCCCCCCAGGATGGGCTGCATCAAAGTGTGCGTTCACGTTTTCTGTCGCCCCGCTCCTTCCTGGAGAGGCCCAGACACCTGGTTTCTCTTTAACGTGTCTGTGTGTGACTTTAATACATTTGATCCTCACCTGTTACGTGGGCTTTGACACTTGCCTTCCAGGATTCCACAAGGGCAAGAGGGTTGGTAATCTGTAAAACACTTAGCCCAGTCCCTGGTGCTCAGTAGAAGTCACAGTAGCATTGTCATCAGTGACAGAGCCGGTACACTACTTAATCATCACCACCTTGAGAGGCGTGCAGCGGAAACCAAGGCTGGGGGGGCGGCTCCTGATCACCGCGAGAGGTGGGAGGAAGAAAGGGAGTCCTTCCATCTTAACAGCTGCCCAGTGCCGTGCCGGGGGCCAGGGACCTGACCCTCACCTCTGCCCTGTGCCGCAGCTGCCCGAGGCGGAGCCCGAGGTGGAGGTGGAGGTGTACCGGCGTGACTCCAAGAAGCTGCCGGGCCTGGGAGACCCCGACATCGACTGGGAGGAGAGCGTGTGCCTGAACCTCATCCTGCAGAAGGTAAGGGCGGGTGGGCGGGTGGGGCGGGGCACGCCCCAGGGACAGCGACCCCCTCACGCACGCCGCCCCCGCTCTCTCCCAGCTGGACTACATGGTGACCTGTGCCGTGTGCACACGCGCCGACGGGGGTGACATCCACATCCATAAGAAGAAGTCACAGGTGAGCCGGGGTGGGAGCCAGCGTGGCCGGGGCACCCCCTGCTGCCAGGGTCTGCTCTGGAGGGCGCCTCCTCCGCCCCTTCTCCTCCCCTCCCTCCCCGCTTCTTCTCCCTCCTCCTCTCCTTCCCTCCTCCCCTCCCCCCTCTCCTGGCCTTCCTCCTCCCCCCTTCCCCTTCCTCCCCTCCTCCTCCCTTCCCCCTCCCCTCTCCCCCTTCCCCCCACCTCGAGGCTCTCCTTCTGAAGCCTGCAGGGTCTCACTTTCCACTCCCAGGTCCAGTGTCCCAAGCAAGGGGCACGTGACTCTGGCCTTGGCTCCGGGCAGTGTGGCCTCGTGGCCCGTCTCTGGGGTGGCACAGGGTCTGTTGCAGGGTGAGGCCTCTCTCGTCCCTGAAAATCTGCCTTCCTGGGCTGAGCGGTGTGGTGCTGCCTGGCACGCCTCCTTCTCCACCCGGCACTGTAGAACATTTGTTTTGCTTTCTTTTAGCAAGTGTTTGCCTCGCCTAGCAAGCACCCCATGGACAGCAAAGGGGAAGAGTCCAAGATGAGTTACCCCAACATCTTCTTTATGATCGATAGCTTTGAGGAGGTGAGCTGCCGGCCCTGGCTGCTGGCCCCTCGGCTTGCTTTTGGGGCATTCGAGGGCGAGGACCTTCTTCCAGTGTCTGGCAGCTTGGAGCGGGGAGGCCTGGATGCCTGCCAGTGTGACGGTCTCTTTCCAGTGTTTGACTGGGGGCAAGCAAGCTCTCCCAGCTCAGTGCCTCAGTTTCCTCATTTGTACATGAGTGTCACGACTGTCTGTCCTGCATGAGGATGTGGTGTAAACTCACATAGTCATTGCCTGGGGCCCCCAGCGGCCCCCATGCCCACCCCTCAGAGCACTGAGGCGTCGGGCAGGACGGGCTTTGGAGGAGAAGCCTTTGTTCTATGGCAGCTGAAGTGGGGCAGCTGAGAGTGCGACTGGGGGGACAAACCTGGGTGTCAGGGAGGGAGGAAGCAGCTGACCCCACTGCCCCTGCGGCTGTCCTCTAGTCAGGCCCTGGGCGGGTGTCCCACATACTGGCCCCGGGCAGTCAGGGCCTGGGGGACGCCAGAGACAGGCGGTTCTCGGGCAGTCTGCGGGGCACAGTGGCCCTTGAAGCGCCTGAGGCTGGGAGGTGATGGACTGTGACCTTGAAGCTATGCCAGCCCCTGGGAGCGCAAACTCAGAGACTTGGCAGGATGTTGCCGTCCCTGTCTGGGACTCCTGGGTCCAGCGCTTGTCCTTAGAGAAGGGGTGCCGGGGGCCAGGGATATAGCTTAGGGGCATAAGAGCCTGCCTGGCAAGCACAAGGTCCTGAGTTCGATTCCTGGTACCAAAGAGAAAAAAAAGAAGAGGCCTGGGGATATAGCTCAGTGGCACAGAGCCTGTCTGGCAAGCATGAGGTTGTGAGTTCGATTCCGGGTACCAAACAAACAAAAAGGTGGTGCCTGTCAGTGCCGCTGGGCTTTTGACCGGGGCTTAGGCACTGGGGTCAGGGCGAGGTGGGCCAGGCAGGGCTGAGCTTTCTAGCTGCTGAGGAGGACGTGGAACCATCCAGCTCGAGAGCAGAGGACATATGGTAGCCCAGCTAGCGCGTCCCCAGCCCTAGCACCAGCTAGTGCTTCCACCTAGAGCACGGGGAGCCCTGGGACGGCCAGCTGGCCTTGCGTGGGTGGCCGGGCCGCGCGGCCCAGCAGCTCCGTTGCTCACCTCGTGCCGCCGCGTCCTGTCTGCGTCCCCCAGGTGTTCAGCGACATGACTGTGGGGGAGGGAGAGATGGTCTGCGTGGAGCTGGTGGCCAGTGACAAAACCAACACATTCCAAGGGGTCATCTTCCAGGGCTCCATCCGCTACGAGGCGCTCAAGAAGGTTTATGACAACCGAGTGAGTGCGGGCCTGGGCTCCCTGTCCTCTCCCCGGCCTCTGTGTGGACTCCCCACGCCCGCACTGGCACCGCCCCGTCACAGGGACCGCCGTCCGTCCCCTGGCTGCTCCTGAGGCCCTGGCCTGTGTTTGGGCTTCACAGTGCCTTGGCCACCTGCTCCCGCTGAAAGTGAGGGCGGGCGGTCCGTCCCCTGCTCTGCGGCCCCTGGGGTGGCAGCTGACCCTGGCTTTCTGTTGCTGCAGAGGGACCGCTGGGTGGACAGGTTGCTCCTGCAGTGGACACCGTCCCGGGAGGGCCGGGTGGCAGCGCTGTGGCTGGGCCCTCAAGGTGGAAGGCCAGCGTCAGCCTGGCATCAGACCCTCCCTCTCGGGGCCCTCGGGGCTGTCCACACCTCGCCCACTCGGGCCGCATCCCGCCCTGCACAGGTGAGCGTGGCTGCGCGCATGGCCCAGAAGATGTCGTTCGGCTTCTACAAGTACAACAACATGGAGTTCGTGCGCATGAAGGGGCCCCAGGGCAAGGGCCACGCCGAGATGGCCGTCAGCCGCGTGTCCACTGGCGACACGTCCCCCTGCGGCACCGAGGAGGACTCCAGCCCGGCCTCGCCCATGCACGAGCGGGTAAGGGCTACGCGCCTGGGGTGGGGCTGCTGCCCGCCATCTCCCTCGCCCCAGCCCCATGATGAGCAGGAGGCTGAGGCTCAGAGAGGGTGTGGCCTTGCCCAGCGACACACAGTGGCTGGTGTTCCGGGTGCCTCCCTGAGACAGAAGAGACTGACTGGGAGCCAGGTGGCTGCCTGGGGGACCACAGGAGTCCCCAGTGAGCTCGATGGGGCAGGGAAGACCTGGCCTCCCTCTCCCACCGGGCTGGATAGAGCTCACAGAGGCCCCAGGCCCTGGCTCTCAGCCAGCCTGTGTGTCTACAGGGTGCTGGGCCTGTTGGCAGATCCCCGAGGGTGGCTGCTGCCTGGTTGTGCACTTTGCCCTGGAGACACTGCAAGCTGGGCCAGGCTGGGGTCCAGCTCTGCCGCCCTTACTTGCTGAGGCTCAGCTTGCACATTCAGAAATGGGTGTGAACACCTGCTTACCGGGTGGGGGTCCGGCGTGGTGCCTGCCTGGCCTTGGCGGCGGGGTGGGGGCGGCTGGGCCCCATGGAGTGCCCTGTAGCAGTTCAGATCACCACTTCCACTGTTGGTGGGAAACGCTGTGCCTGGCGCCGGCCAGGAGGGGTGCCCCTTCTCACAGCCTTCACCCACCTCTCCCTGGGGTCAGATGGGGTCTTCTTTGTCTGTTGTGTACCTGTGTTCTGTTTCGGTACATTCTGCAGTCTATGTTTTCTAAGCCCAATGAAACCTAGAAGTGCTATTTTTTTCGAAGATGGGTGAGACCCCCAGGGGCCCTCTGTGCTCTGAGTCTGAGACACAGGCCTCGGCTTCTCCCGGCCCCAAGTCACCCCCATGGTGCCTGCGCGTCCTGGGTAAGACGCGGCTGGGCCTGTGCCAGACAGAGCCGGGGCTGAGGCTGGCCTTCGGGTCTGCTGAGGGGCCACATGCGTGTTGCTGCACCTGCTTGGTCCCTGCTTTCTCCGTCTGCCGAGTGGAGTGGCCTGGAGCGGCTGCGGGCCCAGGGGAGGAGTGGCTGGGGTCACCCAGCGGAGCTGCAGCCCAGAGGCCGGGCCCTGCCTCCTGCTCTGTGGTGTCCCCAGGGGTCCCTTGTAACCAGTGCACGATGAATGCAGACTGTGTGTCTTGTGGTTTCTGGTGTTGTTTTTCTTGTCTTTTAAAACCTTCCCTGCTCTTGGGAGCACCGTGTGGAGCCCAGCAGTCCAGCAGCCGCGGGGGACTCTGCTGGATGTCAGAGCTGTGACGAGGAGGCCGAGGACTCCCGGAGTCTCAGGCCCAGCTCATCTTGCTGCTCCGATTCTTGTTTGCGTGGGGAGGAGGGAGGAGATGGGCCCAGTTCCCTCTGCCTGGAACGCCCTTCCCCCCCTTCTTCACCGGGCGAACTCCTACTCGTCCTTCAAGACCCGGCTCGAGCAGCGCCTCCTCCAGGAAGCTTACCTGCTTTCCCAGGCTGTCCGTCCCTTCTGACTCTGTGCTCCCACGTTCTGTGCTCCCCCTTCCGTCCCAGTACCAGCATGCTGTCCTTGGTTGTCACTTTGTGTCTTTTGCCCCCAGCAGACTGTGAGCTCCTTGAGGGCAGGGACCGATGTCCTGTGCCTGCCTGTGCCCACCTGTCCCGAGTGGGTGTGGAGGGAGCTGGTGAAGGGAGGAGAGGCGAGCAGGGAGCTCCGTGGCCATAGTGCTCACAGAGGGTGTGGGGAGCCGGGAGCGCAGGCCGGGGCTGCACCCCACGTGTGTCTGTCTCTCCACTTGGTGACCCGAGGCAGGCACGGTCGCTGCCTCCTCCCCTTCCACGCGTCAGGGTGTGGCCCAAGGTCCCGTGCTTGGCGTCCCCACCGGGGGCCTGGAAGAGCCCTTCCGTGTGCTGGGCGGCAGCCGGCGCTGTCCCAGTCGGGCTCCCGGCCCTCACCAGTGTCCCCTTCCGAGCCGGCGCGGGGGTCGTCGGAGGGTGGCTCTGGAGCGGCTCTGTGACTGAGCCCCTTGTCCGCAGGTGACCTCCTTCAGCACGCCCCCCACGCCCGAGCGGAACAGCCGGCCCGCCTTCTTCTCCCCCTCCCTCAAGAGGAAGGTGCCCCGCAACCGCATCGCCGAGATGAAGAAGTCACACTCGGCCAATGACAGCGAGGAGTTCTTCCGGGAGGAAGATGGCGGAGGTGAGCGGGCCTGCAGTCGGGCGTCCCTTTGTTCATTAGTGTCTAGAGCACTGTGCCATGTGGCAGGAGCTGGGGATGGACCAACAGACAGACTGACGCATGCCCTGCTGCTGCGGGCTCCTGTGGCCCAGGCCGGCCGCTCCGTGCGCAGAGGGCCACGTGGGCCCACGTGCACCTGCTTCCTGCTCTGCCGCTCCCTGGCCCATGTGTCCCCACTCTGGAACCTTCATCCTGGTGGCCTCGGGGCTGCCTGGCCAGTCCCTGATCTCTGGGGCCAGACGTCCTCCCACTGGCCCCTGCCATGTCCTCAGTGGTCAGTCCCACTGCCTGCCAGACCTCAGGTGTCCTCAGGCTTCCAGGTCCAGGAAGCCACTGCAGGGACCGGCCACGTGGCAGTCCACGGGGAAAGTGTCACAGATAGGGAGGTTCTGGGAGCTCTGCTGGTGAGGTGGGGGCATCCCCCATCCTTGGGACGGGGTGCGTCCCCGTGGGCTCCGTGCACATTTGCAGAGTGTGCGAAAGTGTGCAGACTTCACCATGTATGGACCGGCTCTATCCCAAGCTAGCCTTGGGGGAGGGGTCCTGGGGCTGTGGCTGTGACGGGGAGCTGGTGTCTTCGTTCTGACCCTGGTCCTGAGGCTGGGGCCTGCCCGGGGGTGGCTGAGGTGTGGCCTGTGCCTGTCCTTATATGGCCCCTGGGCCCCCATCCCCAGGTTCATTTCCAGCGTGGTAGCGAAGTGCAGGTGGCCACTGCAGGCTGCCTCCCTTGAGGACCACAGGAGGGCGACAGGGAAGGGCCGCCCCAGGCCTGAGGCCGGCAGGCCCGAAGCCGGCAGAGAAGGCACAGGGAGGAGCAGGGCCCTTCCCGAGCTGCGGCAGTGCCGGCTGGAGTGTGTGTGTCCTCTGGTGGCCCCAGGGCCCTGACTGCCCTCTCCCCCACAGCCGACCTGCACAATGCCACCAACCTGCGCTCCCGCTCCCTGTCTGGCACGGGGAGGTCCCTGGTTGGGTCCTGGCTGAAGCTGAACAGAGCTGATGGAAACTTCCTTCTCTATGCACACTTGACCTACGTCACTTTGCCGCTGCATCGGATCTTAACAGGTAACGCGGTGACAGTGACACGCAGAGCCCTGCAGGTGGGCGGCCTGGCTCCTGGGCCCTGGGCGTCGGCAGGCGCTGCCCCCCCGGGTTTCCATGTGGGGGTCCCGGGCTCCCTGCTGCAGACATCATGTGAGGCTGTAGCTTCACCTTGCCGTCCTGAGCAGCTGTGTGCCCGGCTTTTGCCACCTTGCTGACCTGGACCTGCAGCCCTTCCAGGCGGGGGTTCCTGGTGCCCTGCCCGCTCCGCCCTGGCACCTGCAGCCCTGTGGCCTGAGCCGACATGCATGCATGGTGGTGGCGGTGCTCCTCTGTCAGAGGAGCTGGGTGGCTGTAGCGCCTGGTGTTGAGCCTTGGTGTCGTCTGCTTCTCTCCGCCCAGACATCCTGGAGGTACGGCAGAAGCCCATCCTGATGACCTAGTGTGGCAGAGCCACACGGAGCCCTGGCCCTGAGGCCTGGGGACTGCTGCCAAGTGCCTACCTGTCACCGCCACCGGGGTCTTCTGTGACAACCAGCGCCAGGGCTGCAGCCAGGCGGGGCCGCTCGACTCCGGGGCCAGGGCCGATCCACAAACACCAGCCCAAACTGAAGTGCCTCGTCCTCCTCCCCGCTGGCTCTGCTCCTGCCCTGCACCCTGCCCTCACTCCTGCCTGTCTCCGGAGCACCCTCCGCACCTAGACAGGGCCAGGGACACCAGGAGGCCACAGACAGCAAAAGACAGCCGGATCCTGGCCACAGGCCATGTCCCAACCCGACAGCAGGTGGACGCTGCCCAGCCAGGCGCCCTGTGAGTCAGACTGGCCGGGCTTCCTTCCAAGGCCCCGGGCAGGTTTCATGACTTGGTACCCTGAACTCCAGCGTCCATCCTCCCCTCGACACACGTTGTCACAGCAGGCTCCCCAGGGAGTGGGAGATATGACGTATTCATCGGCTTTGCCCTGGGCTGGGAATACCTCGCCCTGTGCCCAGTTCCAGAACCTTCTCTAGCTGAGCAGACAACCTAGACCCCCCCAGATTGGCCTTCGCTTCCAGCCAAAGAACATCGCCAACACACATGCCTCCACCCGGGGCCATTGGCTCCGGGCCTTAGCTGGAGGGACCTGCAGAACTGGGTCCTCAGGCCAGGTGGGAGAGCTTGGTAGCCAGGGTGTCTGAGCGGCTGGGGTTGGCATCCTGCTGCCCCCCCGCCAGCAGACGGCATCTTCTGGGCGAGGGGCTGTACAGTCCCCTTGCCCAGTTCCTGCCACCAGCGTGCTGGGCTCATCACAGGCCACCCCCTTGCAGCCAGAGCTGTTTATGCGCATGCGTGGCTGCAGCCTGGTCTCCCCAGTACCTGGAGCCTCCCCTGCCCACCTGGGAGTTGACTATAAGCTTCGTCTCTCTGTTGCTGTTCTGGTTCGAGGCCCTTGGCCCCCTGGAGGGCTCCGGGTAAATGTGTGGAGACCTCTTGTCAGTAGGAGAGAGCAGCTATTCTCCCATCTGTTTCCATTCTGTGAGCTCTGGGGACAGGACTACTTTGGGGCTTTCTCCAGATTTTGTATGTTGTTATTAAAAGCGAGCTATTGCATTTCATTCTGCCTCAATTTGCCCACCTGTAAAATGGGGCCAATACCACCTACCTCACTGACACCTCCAGGGTTCAAGTGCACAGCCAGGTCAGGGTGTGATCGAGTTATCATTCCCATCGCCGGGCCGCTCTGCAGAGATGCAGGATCCGACCTCTGCATGGCCTCACCTGTGTGGTTCTAGCCAAGCTAAGGCTCAGCCTTCCTGGGGTCTTGTGCTCACCAGTGTCTCAGGGCCACAGTCAGCTCACTTGGAGGGTGGAAGCAGAGGCACAGGCCCCTGAGCGTGTCGAGGGCCCCAGAGTGCCCGGTACTGTCCCTGTGTTTGTGGCTGAGACACCCGTGTGGCAGGGATTTTTCTCCCTGGTCCTTCTGGACCCTGAGGGAGGGCCTTTCTGGGAGGAGGCCCCTGCTGGCAGAGGGTGGAGCTCCGCGCGGCTCCTCCTGGTGCTGTCCTGGCCAGACCCGCCTGGCTTGGCAAGTGGAGGATGGGGTAGCTGAGAACAATTGCAGGTGCAGAAAAAGGGGCTTTGGAGGTCGCAGAAACACGCAGATGTGGAGTTTTGTTGACTGAAGGGTTTTTACTGTGCTGGGGGCGGAACCCCAGGCTTCATCTGTGCTAGACCAGTGCGTGCCACTGAGGCCGCCCTGGGCCCCGTACAGGGCTGTAGAGGTCACCCTCCATTTGCGATGCCTGTGAACTCCGAGGGGCGCTTCTGATACTGAACTGCAGTCATGCTCAGAGGTGCTTGATAACTCAATTGCCAGCTGTCACACTGAGGTTTGCTGTTTCGGAGTAATAAATGACATCAGTAAGAGTATTGGAGGAACAAATGACAGCTAGGACTGGAGCCCAGGACCCTGAAGGCCACATCTTATTGCGGGAACACATCTGTGTCCTGTACCATACAGGGATGACCACAGTGTGCTTTCATGTCTTGGGTGAGAACTGGAATTAAAGTAGTTTTCCTTTGAGGAAACCTAGGTGTCCTTGTTGTCGGACATTTGGAAGAAAGGGTTTTTGTCTTGTTTTTTTTTTTTTTTTTCCATTTAAAGAAATGTCACAATCCTGGATTCTGAGTAGGGACAGGCATACCTCCACTTACAACTTTCCTGCTGGTGTCAGGCTGCCTTCCCAAGTCTTGCTGGACCGCCTACTTGCGCATAAAAGCAGCTCACTTAAAACGCAAGTAGCAGGGAAGCAATGAAGAGGAAGCAGAAGCCAAACATGGCCTAGCCCGCGGTGGGAGTCAGTGTTAACGCTTAGTCACTTGAGGGACGGTGGGCCCTTAGGAACCAGGTTTCTGTCTCCAGGGAAAAGCCAAGTAAGAACATGAGGACTTGTTCCTGATGTGCTTTTACCCTCAAAGAATCCACTGAGAATCAAACCCGGATCTATCTTTTGCTTTCATAATCAAAATACATTAAGTAGTAGAATACTTCTTTTGTTTTTGTCTTTTATTTTGTTTTTGTTTTTGGTACCGGGAATCGAACTCAGGACCTTGCCCTTGCTAGGCAGGCACTTGTGCCACTGAGCTATATCCCCAGCCCTGTTTTTGTCTTTTTGAGACAGGGTCTCACTATGTAGTCCAGGCTGGCCTTGAACTAACACTTTGTAGCCCAGACTGACCTCAAACTCAGTGATACTCCTGTCTCTGCCTCCCGAGTGCTGGGATTACAGGCATGCGCCACCACTCCCGGCAGAAGACTTTAAAATCGCAGTAAAATCTGTTTTGTTGTTGTTAAAAGATATTCCAGACCTTGTGCAGTTGTTATAGTCTAATGACTGTTGACCAAAATTCTTTAAAGCCTTTTATAGTAAAGGACACTCCTGTAATCCCAGCACTTGGGAGGCTAAGGTAGGAGGATTGCAAGTTTGAGTCCTGCTTGGGCAACTCAGTGAGGCCTTTGCTTCTGTTTTTGTTTTTGTTTTTTTTTCAGTACCAGGAGTCAAACTTACGACCTCAAGCTTGCCAGGCAGGTGCTGTGCTACTGCGCTGTATCCCCAGCCCTTGAGACCTTTGTTTTAAAAAAATTAAAAAGGGCTGGGAGTGAAGCTCAGCATGAAGGCCCTGGGTTTAACCGCCAGGACCACTGAAGGAGGATAAACAGCCAACGTGTTACTGAGCTGCGCAGGTTTCACCACTCCCTAGTCAGTTTTCCAGGGTAGCTGAAATTGAGCGTCTTGACATGACATCGGTGGTCCCTGTCCAGGCTTGCTCTTGTCTTTGTCCGAAAGCAGAATTCTTTCTAAACAGGACAGGGATTCCATAAGATGTGACGGTGTCATGCCCTTGCGCGTGGGGGCAGACAGCCCAGGGAGGGGAGGCTGTGGCCGTCAGGGGCAGCTGTTAGGCCTGGGGCCAGAGTGCCATGCGGTCCTGCCGGGAGCGGGGGTGGTGCCCACTGGTTCTTTTCTCTTCCCTTTCACTGATGTGCTCCTCTGTGAGGAAGGGATCCCTTGGGACCCACAGACAGACACCGGCACACAGAAGACAGGTGACACCTCGTGGCCTGGGGCTGGGCCAGTGCCCGTGGCAGGGGACGTGGAGGAGCCACCGCGGACGGACGCAGAGAGTGTGTGTTTACAGTTTTCTATTACTCTTAAGGTGACTCGGCATTTCTATCGTTAACGATTCCAGGCCTTGAGCTCCGGGGGTCAGAAACAACAGCGATCTGCAGCTCAGCTCTGCTGCCAGCCCTCCTCCTCCTTACCTTCCTCGACTTCAGGCCCCACTTCGTAGGTCAGGAAGTCCAGATGTAAATAATAATCTTTTGTGGCTTCCAAGTGAACTACATGTATGCGAGTAATTAAATCTGCAAAGAAAGCATCGGAATTTTCTCTTTTCTTTTTTTTGCTACTTTAGGTTTAACTCATGATTTCTACAAATACGTTTAAGCAAAAGCACCGCAATAGCATCTGCTGGATACAGTAGTCAGCTTATCGTAGTGTTATTTCGGTAAACCTCTCCCGCACCTTCCCCATCCAGTAGAAATCCACAAGTGGGATTTGTGGCTGGCTGTTAGCGTCACTTATGATTTCATGTTTCTTTGCAAAGTCGCTTTGCATGTTACATAGTGAACTTATTTTTCTTCTGATTCTCTCTAATCTGTACCTAGTTATTTTTCTGTAATACACGTTTCAGGCTCTTTGCGGACATTACAACAAAGGGATGGTTTGATGAGTGAGCCTTCGTTTGTTCCAGAGTCCTTAAATCTCTTTGGAGCTTTCACATGAGGTACTGCTCTGGATCAGGACGTGCGGGGCCGGAAGGAATCGCCCTGTGCCGAGGAGTCTGGAGGAGTCCGAGGGGCAGTGCCACGGTGAGAGGCGCTCTGGGTGTGGCGGTCGGTACCCAGAATCCCATACACGCTCCTGTTGCACTGTGAAACACCCCAAGCTTTCTCTAGCGGACTCTGAAACCCTTGTAGAGGCGAGAACATGACTGGAATGGAGGTGGGAACTTGGACTTGAGATTGGCAGCTCGGATGCACGCCCCCGGGCCTTCTGGAAGGTGCTGTTCTGGACCCTGCGGAGGACATGGAGCAGACGCGCATGTTTTTTGGCTTTGGGTCCCAGCATCTAATGCGAGTTCATCATAGGTAGTTACAGCCGCAGAGCCACCTCGCAGAGTAGGTTTTTGTTAAGAGCCAGAGGCCTTCCTCTGCCACAGGTGAGGCAGAAGGAAGGCCTAAGACACTGCACGGAGGCAGGAAGGAGGCCTGTGAGAAATGCGGGCTTGGTACAGTCAGCGAGCACCAAGCGACTTCACAGGCGAGCAAGCTCCCGCTGAGCGGTCGGGAAGGCCTCGCCGGAACACGGCGGAAACACTGTGCTGGGGCGTCCGGGAGGCCTCGGGGCTCCCGCGGTGGCTTCCTGTCGCCCAGGCCCAGCTTTCCCTTGGGACTCTGGCCGCTGGCGGGAGCAACCGTCAGGCCCCAGCGGGGAGGAAGCGCTCCCTGGACGGGGAGCCATCGGCATCCAGTCCCGGGAAGGGAAGGACACTGAGACACAAGGGCAAAGTCCCGACTCGGCGGGTGAGCCGAGAAAGGGTGCCGTCCTGAGCCACCGCGCTGCATCGCCAGAGCGGCCGCTCCCCGCAGAGCCTGCCTCCCCCCGCCCGTCCCCCTCATGTGCAGGAGGGGTCTTTCTCATCTTGGACTCTACCTGATGAACAAGAGGTTGCTCAGTTTGAAATAAACCATGGTTTTCAGTGAATTTGATTATATTTTCAATAAAGTTTTGCTCAAGATTAGCAAATCCTGAAGCTGGTTCAGTCATCGGTATGTTCAAGGGCTTGTCTGAAGAGCCACGTAGGTGGGGCACCCCCACAAGCCACGTCACGCGTAAAGCAAGGCCGGGGCTTTCCCTAGGCGGTGCAGAGCCACCACCCACCTCCCTGGGGGCAGTGACACTGAGGTGACACCTCACCCCCAGGTGGGGCGCAGGGGTCTTCACGTTGTCTCTGGGCCGGGGCGCACAGAGGAAGCGCACTCCAGCTGTGGTCCTCGACTCACCGAGATTCAGGGCCACGTGTTCAAACCCAGCAGTCACTGATGAAAATACTCTGGAATCAGGAGCAATGGCCGACAACTCGGGGTACACTAAGAGCCTGTGCTCTTGGGCTGGCTGGAGCTCTGGTAGGGCGTTTGCCTCACGCGCACTGGGTCCTGGGTTTCATCCCCAGTACAATAAAAACAAGCCAGGCATGGGGCACTTACCTGTAATCCCAGCACTGCGGGAGGCTGAGGCAGGAAGATCCCAAATTCCAACTTAGTATGGGCAGCTTGGTAACTTAATGAGATCCTGTCTCAAAATTTAAAACTTAGAAAGGGTTGGGGATGGAGTTAAGCATGAGGATCCCAGGTTCAATCCCCAGTACCTCCTTGCAAAAAGAAAATAAAAACCTCCACTATATTAAACACTTTAAAAGGGTTAATTTTATGTAAATTCGACCTCAATTTAAAAAATAGTGGCTATCCACAATTGTAATCCCAGCATTTGGGAGGCTGAGGCAAGGGGATCATGAGTTCCAGGACAGTCTGGGTCCAAGGCTTTGCATCTCTGGCAAGGGTTTTTGGGGTTGCTGGTCCCAGGGCCACACTGAGAGGTCCTCTAGTGGGGCACAGGCTTCGCCCCAGGAAGCGCCCCTTTGCATCATTTAGGATTTCCCGTCAAACCCGGTTCAAAAATTATGCCCATGACTCCAAAGCATTATCATAGTTAGAATTTAATGTTAATTCTTTAGTATTAATTTTCTAAATCAAAAATTTAGAATTACATAAACAAAATGATGTATTTTTCTCGATCATTGTCTGAATTTTAAAATATTCTCAAGAGAGCTCACTTTGCCTGAGACCTGAGCACAAATCCAGGTTGCTTCCGTTTTTAAAAGAAATGTAGTCACCCTCAGCCGGTGAGGCCCCCAGCCCTGCTCTAGCTCATCCCTGAGCCCCGGAAGTGGTGCATCCCACACAGACGGTGACAGCTGCCTGCTGCTGCGACTTCCTGCAGCCTGTCTACCTGTGTCCCCACCCCGCACGTTCCAAACGAGCACAAACACATCGAGCACTGCTTCTGTTTACTTTCCATTTATTCACATTTCATGGATTGTTACACTTCCTCAAAGGGATCATTCAAAAACTAATACAAACTGAGATTATATTGTCTGACATTTCAAGTATTTTAATTGTAGAAAAGTTTCCTATTTAAAGTCCAAAGCAAACAATTTCTCCATTTGATTGCTACACAGTTTGACATCTCCCTTGCAATTCTGTCTGCACCAACAGCGAGTTCTTAGTCCCGACCTCAACTGCTGCTGGCCAAGGGCACACGGTGACCATGCCCGCAGGAGCAAGGACGGACCAGTGCCACATACTCCCGACCCACAGCCGCAGGCCACTCCAGAATGAGAACCCACAGTGTGCGGTGAGCCACTGTGTGTGCAAAGTCTTTGGATGAGGCTGGGGGTGTGTGTGGCTCAGTGCTAGAGTGCTTGCCTAGCATGCACAAGGCCCTGAGTTCGACCCCAGTACCACCAAAAAAAAAAAAAAAAAAAAGCCTTCAGATGCCTTACACTTGCACTGTGACTCTGGAAATACTACAATTACTGGCAAATGCTCAAGCACAAATGTCTTTAAAACCATAGTGAACAGGCTCTCGGTGAAAACTTGTTTTTAACTCTTCAATAGTAAGATGAAATATTTTTTCTTCTTCCACCCCGAACAGGTAATTTTTTTTTTTTTTGGCATGCAGCATATAAAAGATATGACTTAGTGAAATCGTAAAATAAAATAATCCTCTTGAAGAAAATCGGTCCATGAATGGTCAGACTTGTCCCTCATGTAAAACACAATCTAAAGTTCTTTAAAAACTGGACCTGTTGGCCAGGCATGGTGGTGCACACCTGTAACCCCAGCTGCCTGGGAAGCAGAGGCAGAATCACAAGTTCAAGGCCAGCCTGGGAAACATGGCAAGACCCTGTCTCAAAAAAATTAAAAGGGCTGGGAATGTAGCTCAGTGGTAGAGTTTTTGCCCATATGTACAAGGCCCTGAGTTCAATCCCCAGTACTAAAAAAGTAAAACCTAAGAAACCAAACCAAGCACCCCCCCAAAAAAAACCTGGACATTTTCAGTGTGTAATTCTAGTAAGGAAGACAGTTTAACACTCAATTTTTTTGCTTAACGGGAATGTGCAAAAAAAAAAAAAAAAAAAAAAAAAAAAACAAAAAAAAAGGCTGAGATGTACCTGTCAGTTTGAAAAAAAATTAAAGCACAGAGATACTTAGCATTTGTGAAGATGCAATTTAAGTTATAATTTAAGGGAAAAAAAAATACACACCTTACTTTAGGCCAAGTGTATGAATACAACTTACAGATTACCAAGCTGAAGTCTACATTAAACATTCTAAAGCCTGATTTCTAACATTTTGTTAAAAGTAAATTGAACAAAAATCACCCATGGATTAGAATGAGCTCCAACACCATAGAGAACAAAGCCCTCCAGGGGCCCTGCTTCCCCCAAGTAGCACACAAGGAGTTGGAGTTTACAATAAAACCCACACAGTTCTTTTATACAAATACATAAAGTGGAGACCAACAAGTTCCTAAAGCATAAAAGAGTTTTATGAAAATACATTTTTCCCTGTAATTTTCACTTTAACAGTGATAGTCTTAGCAGCAAAAATTTGCTGGGAATGTTAGAAAAAAAGAAAGCTACACACATCCACTGATTTAAAAACAAACTTGGCTTTAGGGGCGGGGAGGTTAAAAGGGTAACCCAGTCACCATCCTCTTGTGCTGTAAACGTCCACCACACGTGCAGGTGCTAACCGAGTGTCGTACAAGTAACACTGAAGTGTTCCTAGCAATGGCCATGACTACATGCCGGTTAGGACCGTGGGAACCTGTGGCAAAACTCAACACTTTGAAACTGGTTCCCCTTATTCCTACTTCATTTTTAAAAAAGCTGGATAACCCTATACGCAAACAGGACAAGGCCGGTATTATTTTACCATCAACCACTTGTTTACTATAAAGCATCTGTAACAAAAACTTATGAACTCCCTCAAATCTAAAAAAGAAACACAAAACCAACTGCCACTTCCTCCCCAGGCTGCACACAGAGCTAAGAGTTGGACCACATCCAGTCATAGCACAAGCACAACTCTCTCGCATTTATTTCTCCAAAGTCATACACGGGCCAATTTCTCCCCCTGGAAACAGAAACTGCTTAGTACACGAGTGTGCGCAGATCTTCTGATCAATGCTGGCCCACCACTGAACCGCAGGTACTTATGGGCCCTGGACACTTCGCACCTGAGGGCTGCACCTGCACCACCCAGTCTTCAACTGAAGTCCCACCCAGGACAGACCGACACGAGCAGACACAAGAGCAAGCCGCTGGGCACTGGTGAGCTCGTCTGCTACCAAGGCAACAAGATTCATGGGGCACAAAGCACGAACTCGGTCATGAGCTCCTGCATCTCACTCGGATGCCAGTCTCCACAGGAGGTGCTATCAGCCACCTGACAGCTCCTGGGAAGGGACAAGGATGTTCTGCATAACCATGGCTTCCTTCCAAGCGGAACACCTAGGCCTTTAAGAAATGGTGCTTCAGACAGCAAGTGTGTAACACCCTGTTGTCTCAATTTAAAGGCAAAACGCACACGCAACTTCCCCTTCCACTCCTTACTCCACGGAGCCTCGTGAGCTCCCACAGCCCGCGGGGTCAAGCGCCTATGTAGCTTTTACATCCATAAGGTTCATCTGCAACTAACGACACCAGCACAGCGTCCTCTGAAGTATGTTCTCACGCTCGCTCTTCTTTCTCCATAAGGGTTTACTGTCCATGGTCTAGAAATGATCAAAATTTGTGCTTTTAAACCCATTCCTGGCGATCCCCTTCTCCAGGGGGATGAAGAAGTAACAGCACCTCATAAATAGAAACTACAAAACCCAACCTACAAAACTCAAGAACTCCTTCACAAGCGATGCACTTCCTTCTAAAATGAAAAGGCAGTTCCTGAATTACAGTAAAGCAGCTCACAGGGTTAAAGGCCAGTGTCTGCAGAGGAGAGGCTCACGCCCAACGCCGCACTGCACACCAGTCCCCACCTTGGAGCGCGAGCGGGAACAGAACAAAGAAACGCAAGGACAAGAGTCTCGGTCACAGCGTGGCGGCATGGTTCATTTGGTACGAGCGCTGGTCGCCGAGATTGGGGAAGCCCATGGGAGCGGAGAGCCTGGCTTTCTTCCTGGCGGCCGCCGAGACGGGAAGGCCTCGTGTGTGGGCAGCGCAGACGGAACCCACGGGTCGCACAGCCTTTGGGAGAGCTCATCGATACCCTGATTGCAGTCCATTAAGAGATCACTTAGGGTTAGTTTAACAAACAAGTGAACATTAAAAAATCTTCCAAAAACCTTTCACTCAAACGTATTTTGCACTTTAGACAGTTCTGAAGAAGGGAGAAGACAGTCTCTTGACACTTAACATGGAAAGGTTTTATTGGCCTAATCTTCCTCAAGAAAGTTTTAAATTATCTAGAAGTTCTTAGAAGGTCAAAGAGAAGAAAAAGCTTTAGGGGCGGTGGGAGAAGCAGCAACTTGGCAATAATCCCTCAGGTGACTTGGCGTCTTCAGGCTTCCTTTTTCTCCAGTAAAATTTTGTGCAACTCATCCGCATCCTCGCTGGTTTTCACCCGGATTAACATGGTGGTGGGGGCACTGGCGCTCTTCTCATCCAGGGGCGGGTTAGGGACACACACGATCAGGACGTTGTTCTTCCCCGTCCGTGTGCACGGCATGTTGGGTGGGATGAGGACATTCAGCAGTATGTTGCCTGCATTCACATAAGAAAATGCACATCACCATTCCACAAACCAGAGCTCCCCCAAGGGGTTTGGAGTAAGCTAAACACTGAAGTGACTTATACTTAAGGGATCTAAAATTGGGAATCACCAAGAACCTCATCCAATTAGGCAATGGTCCCGTCAGCCGCCAGCAGCGTGCCTGAGGGGGGTCCCTGCGCTTCAGGAGGCGCAGGCCGAACCGCCCGAGTCCTCATGTGTCACAAGAACAAGGGCGAGTGGGCAGCAAAAGACCACCACCACTGTCCCAGAGCACGCCACGCCGGCCAGAGGGACATTATGGTGATATTTCAAGTTAGTCAGCATGGGGGAAAAGGCTGGTGGGGTCTCGCAGGGCCGATCACACCTTAGAGCCGAGACCCTTGCTGGGCGTGGCTCTCGGCCTGCAGCACGAGTGAAGGGTGAAACTTCTACCATATGAAAAGGTTCCTATAAATGGTTAATCCCCCTTGGGTGTTTATTAAACCACCCAACTTATCTCTAGCTTCTGTTACATTTCTAACATAAAAGAAAATGAAAACCACTTTGGCTGCTTTTTGGTGATAGTTTTAATACACCTACTTTTTCTTACACAGTTATTTTCACGGTACTCAAAACCAAGTGGAAAATCAGTAAGTACAGGATAAATTTGTCCTGAATGATCTCTTGCACTACACATCCATAAACAAAGGAAAGACACTCACCTAAATTGGTATCGGCCCGCACTAAGAGCTGTGTCTTCTGATTTGCCATAGGTTTTAAATGCAGGGTACCCACACCCTTCTCTTTAAATTCATTATCTTTCTTGTAAAATAGCTTACACCTGTGAAGCCAAGTAACAGGTATAATCAGGCCTTCAAAAATAGGTTGCACGGTTCTCCAATGCCCACCATATAGAGCTGTGAGAAAATCTGAGCCAATCAGAGAACTGCATCGAACCAGATGGGCTAGGCCTGGGTAAAACCACAACACAAAAACCCAGCTGCATGATCGAGAACCCGTCCCTACTCCTTCACACCGAGAGTGAGCCCTGGAAAACGCTGAAAGAACATTTTCTGAAACCATCTTTCCTCCAGTCAGTGCAAATCTCAGCCTAGAGCCCTGTACCCCGGGTCTGTTCCTCCGTTGTCCTCCAAGGACAGGGCGGACACGACAGACCTTTGTCCCACATCTCCACCACGCTGCTCCCCCCCATTTTCTCCAATTCTGCCCCGTGTCTGAGTGCCCACGGTGCCCGACACGCCTGTGCCGTGCTCTTCAGCTCGGTCTGACAGCCTCTGTGCCACACGTCCTTCAGGTTATTAATAAAACGAAAGCACTCTCCTTTGACTTATTCTGATTAGAAGGAACATCATAAAGTCAGGGTCATTCTTTTGTCATCTATGAAATTAGAATTGAAAGTAAGCAAAAGTAACTGCTAGCCCCTTAGAAGTTCTCAAAAATTAAGTAACAGGATGTGGTGACTTGTCAAGTGGGAAACTATGGATGCATTATTCTAAATCTTCACATTAGAACATCCCGCAAAGCTTCTGAAACCCCACAAACATTTTTATAAAAAGTAATCTCAGGCTGGGCATGGTGGTGCACACCTGTAATCCCAGAACTTGAGAGGCTGAAGCAGGGGGATCATCTCGAGTTCCAGACCAGCCTGAGCTACAAAACTGAGCTCAAGGCCAGCCTGAACTGCATAACGAGATCCTGCCTCAAAAAGACAAAATAAATAAATAAATACATAAATAAATAAATAGATAAAAATTAAACTCCTTTAGTTGAGGAATACTAGTCAAATTTCTCTGGCAGCTTCAGAAAGAGGCAGTTCTTATTTGAAAACAAGCACCCTCCGCCCCACCGACCCAAACAGTAGCAAACCAAGCCCCCACCAACCAGACAGTGGCTCCCGCCGCAGCGGCGTTCACACCCCCACAGCCCTGTGAAGAAACCCACGGGCCAACCAGCTCGGCAGGAAGGAATCAGAGATGCCGCCAGAGGTGAATGCACACTCTCTGTGGAGGGGCGTGAGCAGAGAGGAGGCTGGAAGGCTGTGAAAAGTTTGTCTCTAAACCACTTCTGCAGCAGAGAAGAGCTCAGGCCACAGAGCAGCCTGGCTCAGCAGGAAATCTCCAGGGCTGGTTGGTTTGAATGCAAACCAAGAATTCACCCTGCCCAGCGTGCAGACGCCTAAGGGGGACGCCCAGCCCCACACCTCCCAGGCCCAGTCACCGCGTACTTCTTAGAGTAGAAGGCATCCTCCTCCTTCACCTCGGTAACCACTACCTTGGGCGGCTCCTCATTTTCTTCTTCGTCTCCACCTTTCGCAAAAACAACACAGTGAGGGTCAGATCACGAGCTTGGAAAAGAGCAGACATCGACAAGGCACCACTCTAACCCTCAACCTGAGCGGGCCATGCAAGCCAATATAAAGACTGAAAACATTTTTTAAGGGCATGAGGTTTTAATTCGTGAAAAATCATCATTTTTAAAACTGTTGCCTTGGGGATTGAACCCAGAGCCTTTCATTGAGCTACACTCCTAGTCCTTGTTATTTTTTGAGATAAGATCTCATTAAGTTGCTATATTTCCAAATATAGCCTGGGCCTGAACTTGCAATCCTCTTGCCTCAGCCTCCCAGGGTGCTGGGATTATAGATGTGAGTCACCATGCCAATAAAGATTCTTTTCCATGGGAACATATTTTCCTATTTTAAAATAATTTCCAATTTGAAGAAAGCCCCAGAACATTAACATCGACCACAACAAAACCCATGCTATGACACTGACAGAAAAATAATATGCCCACACTCAACTGTCTACATCACGGTTACCCCCCGGGAAAATCGAGACTCTCGGGAGCTTGCGATGCCGTCAGCCTGAATGTTCCTTGACCGTATTTGCACATGCTCAGGAATGACATCAGGAACGGCCAAAGAGGGGAGACGCAGTCTTTTCACAGGGCAAGTGTGTCGGAAAAGGCAACCCGAGCCAGATGTCAGTAACATCCTCACGGTCTGAACACCACCAGCTCCTCTCGGAACCGAGGCGCCCGGCCCTGGCTGGAAGTGCACTTGCATTCCCACTGTGGGGTCTGAGACACTCAGAAGGGGTCCTCTTGAGAAGGGCAGACGCATGAAACACTATACTAAAATGCAACTCTGTAGGGAGAATCTCAAGGGACTTAGGTACACAATTTAAATTATGAGAAGGCACAGTATGAAGTCCAAGACCTCCTGGGAGATTTTCATAAAGGAGTCCAGAACTCCAGTGATAGGCTCTCCTGGGGAGTACAGGCATCTGTGCTGTTAACAGATTCCCAAGTCTTTCTGATGCATAGAATGTGCTAATCAAAGCTGGCTCGGTGGCCCATGCCTATAATCCCAACACTCTAGAAGGCTGAGGCAGGATGATCACAAGTTCGAGTCCTATCTGGGGAACTTAATGACTTTTTTTTGAGACTGGGTCTTGCTGTGTACTGGCTGGCCTTCACTACACAGCCCAGGCAGGCCTTGAACAGGCAGTGATCCTCCTGCCTCAGCCTCCCAAGTGCTGGGATTCTTAACGACTTATTGGGAGCCTGTCTCAAAACAAAATTTAAGAAAGGATTGGGGACATAGCTCAGTAAGAAGGCCCTGGATTCAATCCTCAGTTCCACAAAAGAGAAAAAAGATGAAGATAACCACAAGCTAAGTGACAGGCACTCTGAGGGGAGGCCTGCAGACTGACTGGGCCTGACTCAAGTTCACCATCCCTGTGTCAGCGCAGCTCCACCTGTCTTCCCTGGGGAGGCAAAGAAGAAATAAAACGAGCGCCCCACACTCCTCTGCCCGGGCCCTGCCCGAGGACGTCGTGGGAACTCTGGGCAGTGCCAGGTGGGGGCCACGGCGCTGCAGCGAGAGCTGGCAAGCGCAGCGTCTGCCAGGGCTTGGAGCGGGCACCCGGACAAGGGCACGCAGGTCTCACGCCGCCGGCACAGCCGAGGCCGGGGCTCCGCCCTGCGTGCAGCACCAGCAGCACCCCTCGGGGAAGGGGCGGCACCCAGACCGGATGAACTGGGGTTTGCTCCCTGGCTATGAAAGTGTACGTCTTCAATTTACAGCCAAGTTTCACTGTGGTTTTACTCAGCCAAATCTACACACAAATCAATTCAGTGGATACACATAAGCTCAGTAAATCAGTTTTCAAAGTGGTGTTTTTCATTCACTTCGTTTTAATATGCAAAGCTATGTGTCTGGTACCTTTCAAAGTCATGATGCTAGGAATCCTTACATTCTCTATGTACGCAGACTGTTTTTGTGGTGCTGGGGCTCAAACCAGGGCCTTAAAAACACTAGGGCAGCACTCACTGTCTACCACTGAGCACAGCCCCAGTCCCGTTCATACCCTCGGTCCTTACAGCAACCCTGAACACTGGGTGTGTTCCTCTTCATGAGCAGGACCTTCCGACCCCATCCAGGATGACACACGCCGGAGGGGACGGAGCTATCCTGCGAACCCAGCTCCACCCAATTCCAAAGTCTGCGCTTTCCCAGACAGCTTCACTCACCTTTGCACTCGTTACTGCCTTCTGCTTGGCTCGCCAACGTTTTAGCAGAAAATGGCGAGGAAACTGGTTTACTCTGGGTGAGGTCTTTGCCGAATAAACTGGAGTTTCCAGGGGAAAACGAAAATCCAGCCGGGGGGCCAGAGCTTGAGCCCAAAACCGAGCTATCGATTTTCTTGCCGAAACTGAACGAGGCACTTGTTGCTCCCTGTGCTGGGTCCACCTTCTTCTCAGACACTACCTCCATCTTCTTTTCAGAAGCGTCTTCAGTTTTGCTGCTACTAAACAAAAAAGTAGACTCCTGCTGCAGCTTGGTTGAAGCAAATAGAGGAGGCTGTGTTTCCACTATCATCCTGCTCGTTTCACTTTCAGAACTGCTGCTGTCCTGGTTCTTACTCTGCTGCCCAATAGTGGCTAAGTAGTTCTCATAGTCTTTAAAGACAGGGGTGAGGTCGCAGACGGGGTTCGCATCCACGTGCTGCACGATCCAGTCCCGCACGGAGCAGTTCAAGGCCGCCAGCTGCTTGTGATAGGTGTCCCCGAGGCAGGCCTGGCTGGAAGCAAGGCCGGAGGAGGAGCGTTGCTGGCTGTCGCCGTTAGTTTTGGGATTTGCAATCTTTCTATCAACCATGGCAGTGGGGCCATTTGTAGCGAAGGAACCTACAGGAAATTAAAGTTTGAACAATTCATTTAGAAGCTGATTTGATTAAACCATCCAAGTTTTTTCCTCCAATCAGATTTTATTGGTACATTTTAGATATACGTAATGCGCACACTTATCACAGAGAATGTGTACCTGTACATGACACAGCTTGATTACTTTTTGCCCATTCTCCTCCCCTCCTTTCCACCCCTCCTCCCCTCCCCATTTACAAGAACTTTGTTTTTTCCTTCTTTTGTCCCTTTTTTCTTTTACTTTTCCTTTCTTTCCTTTCCCCCTCCCCATCCCTTGTTCTCTTCTCCATTTGAACATTTTCTTTCTATTCCACAAAACCTATTATACATTTTGGATTTACACTTTCAGTTTCTCACAGCAGAGAAACAATATGGTATTTACACATGTGTCTGATTTATTTCACTTAACAGTATGGTTTCAAGGTGCATCCACTTACCTAGAGAAGTCTCAAGCTTACCCTTCTTTATGACAGAGAAGTACTCCATTGCATAAAAAACCCCACATCTTCAAACATTCCTTGGTTGATGGGCATTTGGGCTGTTTCCAAGATGGCTACTACAAACTGTGCTGCTATAAATGTGGGTGTGCATATATCGCTGTGGTATGTTGCTTTGAATTCTTCCGGCAAGATACCCAAAAGAGAAACTGCTGGGTCAAATGGCACCTCTAGTCCTAGCCTTTTGAGGAATCTCCACACTCATTTCTACAGTCGTTGCACCAGTCTACACTCCCACCAACAGTGGAGAAGGGTTCTTTTTTCCCCATAGCCCCTCCAG